GCAAAATAGAGCCCGAATGAAGCCGCTAGCGGTTACTAACTTCGAGGGACTCCTTGAGCAAACTCTGGATGAGAACACTACAGAACAGTACCTCTTATTACTGAAATAGTGCTCAGATTTGCTTATGGGAAGTCATTGTGATGCTACCTACAATTAAAGTTTTCACCGAATATTCAGGAGCGTGCGGACACTGTGATCCTTCAAGTTTGAGTCATATAAGCGGTGAAAACATATAAGTGATGGCTATTTCAAAACTTTCTTTTCAGGTTCCTTCTGATGGCGACGAAGAAGTCTATGAGGTACGGCTCTATCTGATTCGCTTTAACGCTTTAGTTTTCATTATTCGAAGCTTTGGACCAAGCGTACTCTCAATAGGGCGTAGCTAGTGAAAAGAGAACCACTTCAGGTTGAATGTATTGTCGATCACAGGAATCGTCGCGGCGGGACTGAGTACAAAGTTCGGTGGCGAGGATGGTCACCACAGTTTGACGAATGGCTGCACTACTCAAAAATGGCAAGTCGTTACATTGCTACTATTATGGCGATAAGACTCATTTGTTTTGCAGGATTGTCCGGAAGCAATCAAGGAATATTGGATACAGCATGAGGCGCGAAAATCTAAAGAACATAGTTCTTCAAAAAAACGTGATCACTCTGACAGACATAGCGTACAATCGTCTTCCTCTAGAAGAAGTGTAAGATATAGAATTTGGCTACTATTCTATTCCCTGTTGATGTATGAGCGTCTAAACTTCTGTTTTAAGACCTCTCCCCCTACGGCAAAACGACGACTCATTGATGGTTTTGATCTCGAAGGTATGCAGTTTCTAGGTGCTATCATTTTATTTTTCCTACTAAGTTAATAAGTTCTAGAACACAAATTTGACTTTATACTAGCCTCATAATTTCCTATCAGTACGTGTGGATCTTCATATTTCTGGAATAAGCCTCATTAACAGCAATAATCGCGGTGAAGATGTTCGAGGGCCACCTCATTGTGCTCTTCAGTACTAAAGTGACACGGAATTTTTCATTCAAAAAGTACCGGTATTGTGTGGATGTACTCCCAATGTACTTCCACAATTCGGCCTGCAATGGCCCTGAGCCAGGGGAGTGAACGGACATCTTTGTGGGGCTAAAGGTGGGGCAGCCTTAGGGTGTGCGACCATGTGCATAAAGTTCATGGGTGAGGGTAGGATGCGTGAAAAATTAGTAAACTTATCAGTCCTTATCAAATGTGGGTTTTGCGTGAGTCGTTCTCCTATCAGTCTTACCTTAGTGCCTTAGAGAACTCTATAAGAATTGATCTCTCTTCGCTAACAAGGATAAATTTCGAGGTTTTTCCCGCCCCCATGAGCTCTTCTCCGGCGAGACTTGCAGTTAGCTGATGTTCCATAATTAGAAAACAATAGAATATAGAATTTTTTCATTTGAGCCTCAATTAATTTTATTGACGCAAGCATTGCTTCAAGAACTATTATGTTACCCGTATACGGTTCCGGTTATTCGCGTAATAACGCTGAGAAACTCTTTTAGTCTGGCAAAACGCTGACTTGTACTATAGCACTCCTAGCAAAGCAGTGTTTGGCAAACTGCATGGACTCATACCATGGGAATAGTTTTACATGGGTTCATAGCAAATAAAAAATTGGAGGCTGAACATTCTGGAAATGACACTGACCATAAGGAATTAGGTCGGAAATTATGGAAAGAAATGGGTAATTTTTTCTTCTTGTTGTGGTCCTTTCACTAATGAGTATCGTTCGAAATTATTGGACTCTAATGGTTTTAAGGGTGAACAGTTAGACTGTTATATAATACGTGATGGCTGTGGATCGCTATAAGAAAAGTGACTTTTTTGTTTCGGCGAAAATTTCTTCTGTCCTAGTGACAAATAAGTTCGCATCACCGTCGCGATGGTTTTTCGCTCGGTCCACCAATGATCAGGAGTGGACCTGGAATCCTCGCTGCGAAAGCGGAAAAGTCGCTCTCTAAATTCGAAATGTTCAACGTCAAAATGAAACTTTGATAATTTTTTAGCATTACTCATGATTACTTAATAAACTAGTCCACTTCGAAGACTTACGAGAGTTCGCAAAATCGTCGGCGTTTTTTTTTTTAATTTCAAGAGTTCTTTCTTAGAATTTTAAATACTTTGCAAGGTCATATCAATTCAGCTAATAGCAGTGCTGATTCTGGATCCGCATCACCAACGATAAGTGAATGTTTGGGAGAAGCGACCTCTCAAAAAGATGATACAAACACTGAATCTTTTCGATATCTTCAATCTGCCGAAGTGATGAAAGCCAAGAGAAAGGTGAGCGAAAGTAAATCGTAAATTGTAGGTGCTCTCAGAAATCGCGTTTTTATCATGACCGTAAAAGGGGAGTTTCCTTGATGCTTGGTAGCTGCAAGTACTTTAGACAAGCTGGTCGTCTAGTTTTTTTTTCCAAATTTTGTTTTCTATGCGTACGTGAAAACAGAAAATCCAAAAGGGGAGGAACTAAATGCTAGGCATCGTTTCTTTACGAGTATGTCATCTGCAAGGTCGCATTTCTCCAATGGTAAATCTAGATTATTTGATATCAAGCGTCAAGAGGCAAAAATTATTGAAACGAATCGGTAGCTAGAGCATCTTTTGTGTGCCTGTTTGTTTACACCTTAGAATACGTAGTATTTCGGTATATTTTTTTCTGCATCCCTGCTAGTTGGTCTGTAATCCAGGCAAAATCACTTTGTTCCTTTTCTCCAAGTCATACTACAGTCGATTAGTGGGAAGGGAGAAAGCGATTTTTTTCGTGCGGTCGTGTCCGACGCCTTTTTTAATCATGTAAAACGCATCCCAGTAATGAGAGGAGCTTGTGCCAGCCACGATGCAAAGCAGACAAAACTTATCACGAAAATTGCTGAGACTTGTTCTTTTCGTTCCTTTGCTTTTGGATTGAGCGGAAACCCTCTCGCTTGACAGGGAGAAAACCAGAGCAGTCGCAGAATCTGCAGTTTTCCACCTCCAAGTCCATAGGTAGTCTTGGAAGCCAACTTTGTCAAAAATTGTAATTGTTCACTCAGTTAATTTCATGGCAAAGAGTCAATTTCATAGATCTGGAATTAACGTCTTTTATTGGAATGAACCACATTGGAACCAGGGTCAGTCCTATCGTTGCTACTTTTCGAAAAGTTTTTACGACCCCCCGTCCTTCAGGAAAAGTTCCTACCACCCCCCCTTGTCAAGGAAACTATCGTCGAGCGGGGGGGGGGGTATATATACTTTCCCTATTGGAACCGCAAAACCGCAAAAATTCCCTAGATTCCTTGCCAATTTCCCCTATGTTTCACGCGAACACGGGCCGCGCTTCACCCAGTATTTCAACTGCCTCCCAATTTTTACATTAGCGGGCACGGTTACTAGGCGCAACGCGCTGAAACGGCAAATTTTCTCCCGCGCCGCTCCCCACTCATCACATGCCACTTCTTACAACCGAAGCAAGTACGACCCCCCTACAAACTCACCAAAATACGACCCCCCGTTGCTACTTGTAGCAACATAGGGTTGACCCTGATTGGAACCCCTTTCGCTATGTTATGCTTCTTTTTTCAATTGTACTGAAACTCACATCGCATTAAAAACCTCGGTGTCACCCGCTATTGTGTGACATCGTCCAATGCTGCGGAGCAATTGTTACCAGCGGTAACGTGCTGATTTAGTTTCAGCGTTTCTGGACTTATCTTGTCCATAGCGCTCGTGTGAAAGGTCTTATTGCATTACCAATCAAGCTTATTCAGAGTTCAAGCGTCGAACCAAACGTGCAACTTGATGATGTTCCTCGGGAATCAAATACAGCTGGACCTCAAACAGTCCCAAATGTCCCATCTACACCTTTCAAAGATCAACTGCAATCCTCGGACGTGTCGGCGCGCTCTTCTCCATGCTTACTCCCTCAACAGCCTGTGCGCAAAACGGTAAGTTGGTGTGAGTAATTTGCAAATCATCGCGATGGAAGTCCTTGGACCAGGGTTTTTGTAGTTTCCTTTCGTTTGTCCTTGTTCGTAGAGTTGGAGTTGCTGTCCCGAAAGCAGTCGGCTCTCTATGACTGTGAAATACTCATGCATCCATAAGATAACGGAGGCTATCTCGTTCATCGAGCTGATGCTCATTCCTTAGAAAGTGTTAGTACAAATGTAGCTTCAGATTTCCCATAATTATTCATTTTAGATACCACTACCTCCCGCCCTTCCGAAACGGAAGCGTGTGCAATCTACATCCACCACGTCTTCATCTTTACCGTCTACTAATGTTCCTGATGCGGAACAAAGTGCGACTAGGTGTGTTCTGATGTGACCTCTTTGTGCATATTTTTTCAGGGTCACGTAATGTCTGCCTGTATTTAGTATTATATCTCGCATTTTCTGATTAGAGCATACAACTTTTATTAAGCCGGGTAAGGCAAGTTGTAAGTGATTAAAATGTTTTTTTCTATCTTTGTATCCTCTACTAATTGAATATTCTCGCGTTTTGCTTTATACCTTCAGCCTCTATCTTAATTACAATCTCAGCTTAAATTCGTGCAAGTATAGCGTGATGCTTTATTTTAATCACTTCTTTGGCTAATATTGGCATTATTAATTTTGTCGACTCCATGTACTGTTACTCTTTTTTTCAGTATTCAGCAGTTATTTCATTATTTGGTATTTATAGCGTATCCAAACAATCTGATAGTGACCAACGGAAGACTGCTTCCCCGTCCATCTCATCTGAGGTTGGTCGTTTTGTCCCATTAGTTCACGATAGCAAATAATTCTTTCTCTAAGCTCACTGATTTATATCTAAAAGTTGTTTTGATGCAAGCGATCAAATAATTAACATGCCATGAGTTTTACCAATAACCCAACCCGCCTGCGCTGTGATTATGAAGGCGGAGGGTTTCATCAGGGGAACCCCGTTCATATGGCGCTTTCTATGGTCGCATATGGATTTGCGAAGGTTGTATGTCATTACGATGTCATTTGCGCACCAATGCTAACAAGAGTCCAGGGAACGGCCGTCTCATAGTTTGGTTGGATTAGTGTATTAGGCTCCCTGTTTGACATAATTTGTACTTCCGTACGAGCTTTTAGGCTATCACAAAAGTTTTTAGTAAGACAAAAAAACGAATTTCGGTGCAAAAACTTTTTTCAAAATTTGCTGCTTCATAGTGAGTTTGAACGGGGTCATAATTCTCGTAAGATCTATCTACGCACCCCCCTATTCCTCCAATATTTCTTTCATTGGAATTGTAATTGACTCAATTTGATACATGCCACGGTCTAGTACATGAAATTCCAGTGCATAAAGTCAATTTGTTTATGACTGAAAATTTTCACTCAATTTGAGCACAGTCTATACCAAAATATATCAGGCGTCCGCTTTTAAGATGGGGGTTAATGCTCTCACACTATCTTGACAAAACAATGTTTGTTCGTCCTTCCGCAGTCTGTGGGACCCGCAGAGTACCTTTTGATATCTACTCCAATGAACGCTTTCTCGCTAAAGGAGGATCAGTTCCTGAGCCTGTTACGCCTTTTCCTGCGGGATTTTTCAAACTTCCCATCCCCAGCCCCTACTCGTTGCTTCACTCCATCTAAATTCGCCCTATTTGTTTGTCTTTGGACCCGTCCGCCATTCCATCCCGCCAGTCTCTGCGATATCATTTCGCGCCGAATAAAGGGTCTTCTGTCTGACAGGAATCTACGCACTTTTGGCGCCTTATACAGAACTCTCGTGGAGGCGTCGCCAGATTCACCAACAACTAGTAAGTAGGTCAACATTGGTTATAAGTTAGAAGTCGTGATGAAACGAGGAAATGCACCATACCTAACCCCTGCGTCACGAGCGGCAGTTACGCTGTGGCATTAGACCATGCCCACCACTCTCCCTGTGCAGGGTAACATACGAGCAGGAAGCGAGCATGAACTTGGCAATGCCATTCTCATTAATTGGCTTTGCTATGCACTTCCACGTGCCTTGTTCATAGCGCTCCACTGAAAGTTGTGCGATTAAGCGTGTCATTTACGAATATAATTTTTGTGTAGAGCGAGAGCCCTGCCTTCAGCTCCCAGCCCAAATGACCCTGTTTATCAACCAGTGAACAATAACTGATGTAGCAATTTGGTTAATTTGTGTAAATATATTCCTTAACTTATGTCTGTCTAATTCACTAAATAGCCCTTTGTCATGTGAAATCTTTATTTGGTCTCCCAACGTTTTTTGCATTCTACTCGTTGAAAACATGTTTAATCGACTCTCTTCCGAATTGAATAAACTTTTTGAACACTGCTTTAGCAAGACGTGAAAAAGGGGTCGGAGGCACGTGAAATTCAAGCAAAGCCTGTGAAAAAAATCGAGGTATGTCTACCAGGCTAACTTCTATAGATCCGTTCTGACATGAGTCAGAGCAACCTGATTCAGATCCAGCCCTAAAGAACCATTTGTGCGGCCTTCAATGGATCCCAGCGTTGCACGAGATCACCGCTACAACCTCACATTGCCCTGTTTTTTTTGATTGCGATAACCACTGTCGAACTAACAAGCCTCCTGATGAATCAACCATACCGCGAGTCCAAGCAGCTGATACTGCCCTTATTGTAGTAACTCGAATATACGTATAATTGATGTGAAACGACTTCCCCTTGTGAAGCAATGATATTCCTTAGCGTCGATCGCGCCATCCATAGAATTCCCTTCTAAACGACTGAATTGCCTTCCTCGTTACGCAGTTATGCAGTCAAGAACTGATTGTCTGAAATCTCCGCTACTCCGATCGTGTCAGCTAGACAAGGTAAGAACTTTTTGACAATTTCTGTAAAAAGTATCACGGGGCCAGATCCACATCCCACATGTTCCGATTTTTATCGTGAAAATACAAGAAGTAAATGAAAAGAAATGGAGCTCTAGAATATGCTCCGGCCCATGTTTCACCTAGACAATCGTGTCCTCTCATCCAAGCATAGTGGTCCTTAGAGTCTCGGATTTGCAATGCAATTTCTTATCCACCCTCACAATTTAGAGCTTTTCCAAATGCACCAACCCTTACTCTCTGAAGATAATTTACCTCCGGGGTGCGGCCTGCCTACCAACGTGCCGAACTGTCTTAATTCTGCATTTGAATTGATACCTCTTGCCATTTGAGTTGTGTAGTCTCTCGATGGTCGCAAAGTATTGCCCGAATGTATGGCATGCGCTTGATCGTGCGTCTTCTTGTTCCTCTACCCCTCTCGAAAACGAGCATCTAGAACAAACAAGTGAATTCGCACGGGTGCTAATCGAATAGAAACTTATAATGAGTACACCGCGAACTAAAGCGTTTGGTCTCTAGCTTAACTGTTTTTCGCATTGTTAGATCGCATCGTCAACGATGATGTTCAACACTCAAGACTGCGGAAAAAGTCACCGTCCTACTGCGGTTGAAAGCAGAAGAACGTGCTTTCAATCCGTTCGACATTCTTAATGACTGCCATTTCAGAGCAGGAGAAATGCAACCACACTTTAGAGTGGAGCTCTCCATTTACATTGCTTTGGCTTCCTGTGTCAATGGCCAGAGCCTACGTACCGGTGCTTAACGTAAAACACCTTAGCGTCATCTCCGGGACCATTGCAAGTCGCCTCGCGGACGGCCTATCGGCCCACAGGTATTTGCTTAACCCTTTGACGAACCTGTTGAACCCGCCGTGGCCACACTTCGCGTCGGTGGCGCTACGTTTTGTTGGTTTATTTCAGCATTTCATGTTTCAAAAGCACACATATACATTATCGAATCCGCGAAATAATGCGCTAATTACTACAAATAGAATTTTTGTAGAGTTAATAATTACTGATGAAAAAATTTGAAAAGAAGTGAAGTGACGCATGCATAACGGCGGTCGTCAAAGGGTTAAAATATCAAGCCTTGCCTTATACACCCACTCGTGCTCAGTTTAGATACTAAGTCCCGAGCATTTTCGATAGTAGTGGACTGGATCAAAGCGCTTTGGCATTTGCACACTTATCACACACTTAGGAGACCTACGTCTTCTCCACTCCTCGAGAATTCGTCTGACGGAGTGTGCACGACAGTATTTTGCCAGCAACTCCCATCCAGCTTCGTCTTCGCATCCTCACACGCCCATTATCCGACTGGCCAATCACTGTTCACGCCAAGTCATATCCTGAATCTCGATCTCTTCTGCTAATTACTTCCTGTTCTATCGGCCAACACCATTCCGCCTGTGTCCCCCCCCCCCCCCCCGTTCCCATTGTACTAAACTAACACCTTTCTTCTCCGGATTCCCTGCCTTGGTCCCTTTCCAACGCGTCCCTGAAGCTTCGACTTGCAATTTTTTCCTCAGGCGTCATCAAGAATTCCAGCACCTCCTCAGGACCTTCCAGTCACGACGGGTTGTCCTAGCGTTCACATTCAATTCGAAACTAGCTTCTTTGGCCGAGGCCGTTCCCTCCTCGGTAGCCCTCGCATACTGACCACAGAACTCGGGCGGGGGTTCTGCGCGCCACTTCCGGGTGACGTCCTAGCTTTATCACTGATTCTTCGACAACTTTTAGACATGGTTTGTGTGGGGTGTATCCTATCAGCGCCTGGTCCCCCTGGGTCCTGACAAGGACTAATTCCTTTTTGCAGTTCTGCAGGCATGTTCGAGCTCGCAACCGGGATCGAACTCGCGTTTCCAGAGTGCAACATATCAACCTCTTAACCACCTCCGACCATCACCTGCCACTTCACACCAGACTCACATCGCAACAATTTCAACGGGCTCCTTGGTAGACACCCCAAGCACTGTCAATTTCATAACCCGTTAGCATTGACGTCTCATCTTCCTTTCATCCCCTGAACATCTTCGCGAATCTCCGCTAGCTCGCCTAGTCCCGTCGAAAAGAGTCATATGTTTCGGATGATTTTCCTCTCAGAACGGACTGGTTCAGTACTCGATCAGACCGTAGCTCAGATGGCCTACAATTTGTAAACAGGAATGAATAACCAATGTCTCCCGACGATTGACACAGCCACTACGCAGAGTATAAGAGTTAAATGTGCAACTCGCGCTGGGGTGAATATCATTTGGTAAATATAGGGTTTTCCGAATTTATATGGGCTTTATGAGAGTAAACGCCGTAGGTAGCTAGTCAGGTGTGTTTGTTGGGGTGTGCGTGGGGGTGCGCGCGTAGGCACTGGGAATTCGGATAGGTATTGTTTAAATGAGATGATTCCGTTCGGATAAAAATTTCACAGTCTATGCGAAACACGAGTCGAAACGACTGTATACCTTTAAAAGTTTAAGGCTTTGATTCGTGGCTTCGAAGAACATCACATTCGATCTCGCAGAAATGCAATTTTGTCATCACCTCAGCCATCTGGTAAACAACAAAGCTAGGTTGATTGCCATTTTGTTTATTTATTTAGGTGAATGCTATCAGTATGACTCTGTAATTAGAAATCTCGTTTTATGATTTCATTCGTGCTCTTTTCAAGGTGAATGTATTTTTTACGGAACTTGTCTTTCCTTTTCATTCCTGTTAATATTGCCTTTTAATTGTCCGAGCAATCCCGCTATATTCGTGACACTTAAGCATAAATCATTTATCACAATCAAATGAAATGATGGTTCTTTCTTCAACATAGAGTAGCTTGCAGAAATTCAGTTGTTTACATTATCACCTCATTACAGAGGCTCATGTTCTATTCCGTCTTGAAGGAGTTTAATGAATAAATAAATATTAGGTTGGTCCATAAGTCTTGCAACAAATTACATTTAATGCTAGAGAATTTTTGAACTCCGAAAATTCCGCAACATGTTTGTTGACGTAGCATCCACCTTTGCAATTTCAGCCAACCGTCCAGCTCGTTGTCTCGCTACTTGTTATGGATATTACACCGATTTCGCGAAAAGCTCTTCGTGCCCTAATTTTTACGAGTACTGCTTGGAATGTTCCGCAAGTCATGCTACACCAAGGATTAGCCAGAAGATGGGCGAGGGCACGCTCTCAATTCACGGTGCACCGGCGCTTCACTCTGCTCAGCGTTGACTTTTTTATTTGAAGATGATCCACACTCCAACCACCCTGTGACTGGCAATCACGATGCTCTACCTGACGCTGTTGAAAAGGGATCTGGATAGAGTATCGATCATTTGCTAGAGCAATTCCGATGCGACAAGGAGACAGCACTGTGGCATCTCCAAAGACTTGAAAGATCCATTTCTTATGCCTTGAGCCCGAATCAGCTCCAAACACGATCTGACATCGTCATGTTCAAGTCGACTTACTATGGATTCTTCGATTGACCATCCATCACATTTGCCGAAGATGAGGAGTGGGTACAGTGTGCTAACAAATAAACAAGCGGCGATAGTCCAGCTCAAACGCTTTGGGAGTTCTTATTGCTAAAGTTCAACCTCGTAGGGTCTTCTCTGATTTTCGGTGGGATGTGAAAGCTCTACATGCAGATATCGCAGTCAATGCGGAAGTCGACCATTCTCAGCGGTATTACAACGCTTCTAATGAAAATGCAAGACAAGGCCTACTTTTTTACACGCTGTTGAACCACACATTGCTAAGAAAATTCAGAACAATTTTAGGACTGTCGGACGGAGAGTCCTTTCATATTCGCCTTATAGCCCTCGTGCTACCAGATGCCACCTGCTTCTCTCTCGAGACCACTTTCTAGAGAAAAAAAACTCATTCCAACCATCATGATGTTAACATCGAAATCCATTCATTCTTCGGAGTTCTACAAAAGGCATCGAATAGCTTCTGGTGCGTTGACAATAGCTTGTAGATATCGATGGTGTGTAGATATGTGTAGATATACAGGATGAATGGAACAAAAAGATAGTAAAAATATTACAATCAAAATTTGTTGCAAGACTTATGAACTCAGCTAATAAAATTGCTTTTGTTGTCTATTGCCTGAATCATTGCAATGGCAGACTATGGAAGTTCCAGAGAATCTTCATGATTTGAAATTGATCTCCCTGTGTTTCTGCCAAAAGAGGGCGGAAGTGGTGTAGTGGCAAGTGGCACGCTTACCACGCGAGCGGTCCGGGGATCAAATCCTGGGTCGTGAGTCGCCCGGGCCAACCAAGCCTTCCATCCCTCCGGGGTCGGTTAATTGGTACCAGACTTGTCTGGGAGGATAAAAACACTGACTTGTACATCGGCTGGCCCCCGCAAGTCATTGTATAGGCCACATCGCATTCAAACGCCACTACGAATGTACAAATGGAAGTAGAATGCGTGCCGCATCCCAAAAAGGGATTGATCAACGGCAAATGCTTTATTTATCTTTATACCATTTGAAATCTTCCCATTCACTAACCTCTACCGAATTCCCGATTTTCGTACCTTACAGAAAGCGAATGTCCAGCCCCATCCGC